TAAGGCATGTATGAAGATCTCTCACAGCTTCTGTGCAGCAGGAAACCTTTGTCCCACACATCTTGTAAACGCTGCGGGGGGCCACTATTGTGCCATGCATCTTCAGAGCACCGCGGGAGGAGCCTTTTGTCTGACACAGTGGGCAGGCACTGTAGGAGGGCACCTTTGTCCTGCACAGCCAGTAACCGCTCTGCAAGAGTGAATTATGGTGATTGCAGAGTTCTTCTCTCTCCAGACACTCTGCTTTCAGTTGGAGGAATTTGTCAGCCTTGCTAGGTAAAGATCTGCTTTTTCTGAGTGGAAGTGAAAAGGGAAGACAGTGAAAGTGCCTTTGCGTGCATGTGTGCAAATGGCCATCAGGATCATTCATACAGTCATATTGTATGACCATCCCTACAAGCACCATTCCCAGTTTCAGTCTTTGCTTTTCCTCTTCCCTAGTTTTCCTACCCATTTAGGCTGCTCTTTTAATTATTATTTCTTTGTTCCTTATGTTTTTACTATCTCCTATTCACTGTGCTACTCCTGTATTCAGTATCTATAGTCTCAGTATTCGTTCAGATGACTAATAACCACATTTAAAAGACTTGAGCCCAAATACCAATCCTTCTGGAACTTGACAGGTATTCTTTCAACCCCATATTATTACTTATTATTTGTCATCTCAAATGCTTTAGCCACTTCTCCAAAAGTGTGCCAGCACCCATTTTCTAGAGTCTGAGACAATGTACAATGGGAGAGGCATAACTCGGCATCTTTGAGATGGAATGGGATAGGATGGGATGGGATGAAACGAGTCTGGACTCTGTAGAGATGAGATGTGTACTGCAGCTGCTGCTGGTGTTCATGCTGCTGGCAGCTAGAGCCAGCACAGGCCTGGCAGCACTCATTTGGGAGCTGCATTACTGCAGTTCTCAAGTGTTTGGGGACCCCTTGACTGGCATAAAGCAACTGATTTGCAAGTGAGAGGCAGGAGTGACCATAGCCCATTAGAGCACTGAGGGTCATAATCCATTTTAAGTGATTACATTGGTTCCCACTGCCTCGAGGTTGCCACACTGACCTATGTTGAAAACACAGCAGTGGATAAGTCTCTCACCTGCTGATTTTTGTTATTCAATGAAGTTTGGGTTTTATCTGTTCTTGTCAAATTTGAGTGTCTTGTGTCTGCTGTTATTCTAGAGGTACTTGTAGTTTTTTATAATGTTGATCTCTTTCTTTACTAGTATTCAGGCATGAATTTTATGTGTGGTAGTTAGTTTCAGTTAATCCTCTTTTTCTCAATTTAAAATTTTTTTTTCTTCTCATTCCCACCCTAGTCCTCTGGTGCCTACCTGATTGTACATGAATACTCAGAAATAATTGCCAGTAGTCCAGCAAGTTCATTAACTGATTCCCTGAAGACCCACATATACATGTCATCCAGACCGATGATTTGGATATTAAATTTTTAAAAGTATTCCCTCACCTGATTTTTTGTATCTACAACAGTATTGGCAAGTCTTCATTATTTCTAATTATTTATCTCTTTGTGGCACTTGGTAAATTGATTCTGGAACTTGTTCACTGTTTTGCTGTCATTACTCATTTCACCTCACACATTATTGGTTCCACCATATCTTTGGAGCTCCTTTCCAATGATATTATGTACATGTTAAAATATATATTCATTTCTCTATATATCTCTCCATGATGGCAAATGGGGGGCTAGTTTGCTTTTCAACATTTCTATCATTTATCTCTGTGGGGCTGGGACTAGGAGGGATTTATACTTTTTTTATATTTAGCCTTTGTATATTTTAGAGTATTTTAGCTGTTCCCACACTTAACAGGGTTTTTGTATCTTTTCCATGCAGCATGCTCCCAAGATTCTTCAAGAATTAATATCTGAAATCACTACACATTGTGTAACTGCCCATCAATTAATACAATGTATTGAATCGTGGTTTATCATCATGACTTTTGAAATTAGTGAGTACTAAGAATATATATCTTGGAGGACCTTGGCTTCAGAACAACTGGTTCTTATTGTCTGTCTCTTAAAAATTATTCTTTCTATCAAAAAATAGATGTCTGTTCATGCATTTAATTTAGGTCTCTGTACTACTAAATACACAATTGAGATTGCAGTCATCAATGATATTTTTCCTCTGGCAAAATTCTTACAGCCAAAATCTGTTATCACCCTTATAATTCCAGTTGTTTCAGTTGAATTTTCCAAGCCTTTGGTATATAAATGATAAATGCACAGTGTGTGCAGTGTTAAATTTTTAGGGCTTTCCCTTTAGTAGCAGTTGAATGTGAATATGTAAGGGCAAAATTTGACCTTTAAAAATGACTGTAAAGGGCCATGGCAGAAACTTAGCAAGCTTTTCGTATTGCAATATTAATCAAGCAAAGAATCATCATAATCCTGGAAACTAAATATCCATTGTAGTGATTTTATCACTAGGGAAATTGTTCATCTGCCAGTAAGATTGCTACTAGGAAAAGGAAAATAGGGAGTGTTAAAATTGCTTTAGACTGCTGAATCATTGAATCCCTCTAGACTCAAAGCTTGAATTGTTTTTTGAGAAGAGTGGGTTGAGAGGAGTTGCCGCAGGAAAGCTGTAGGTTAATCAGTTTCAGTAACACTAGTGAATGTGAACATGATCTCACTTGGGGACATGAGGAAAGTGCATGGGAGAAGGCAGGATGAGGAAAGACACAGGGACACTTCAAAAACTTACTCTTCTTTTGTTTTGTCATTTGGTTTTTTTGTTTTGTTTTGGGGTTTTTTTGTTTGTTTTGTTTCTGGATTACCCTTTTACAGAGGAGGAAGGTTGTTGATGAAAAAGGAAGAAAGGGGGAAAAACCCCATAGTATTCACAGCCTATATTTTCATCCTAATCCAGTGGATATTAATGAGGACTATTACAATCAAGACAGAGAATGCAGACAGGCAGAAGTGAGAAAGATATGTTTGTGTGGGAGATGTCAGTGTAGGAACAAGAAAGTCACATGGAAAGATATTTTGCCTTCAGGGCTCAAAGAGGTGTTCACCATATGCTGTCACACAGGCATGCAGGAAGGAGGTGAAAACCCTGTTGCAGGCATGTCCTTACAGTATGTTAGGACAGCCTGTCCTTCCATAAAATCAGCTTTGGTAGTTGACTTTTGTGTGCTTGGTAGCAGTGGGCAGTTATAGTATACCGAGCCTAGCCATAACCTCAGGGACGTGTCTGTTAGGCTGCAGATTTTGCTAGAAGGGAAGCTTTGTCCTTCTGCTGTGTTGGGCCACTTCTGTGTTTACCAGGTGGGGAACAAGTCTTGATAAGTATTGCTGTGAGGTGTCTTACAGGGGATGGGATAGGTGGTCTGTATTGAAAACCACCTGCAGGATAGGGTCATAGAAACTTTTATGTTGGACGGGACCCTTGAGATCATAGAGTCCAATGCAACCCAGCACTGCCAAGTCCAACACTTGATAGGATGGACTGCGTCTCAGCAAAGATAATTTCTACAATGATGGGTGAATTTGAAGGTGGAAAGCATTTGTATAAAAGGAGCATGTGGGAAATTTCTGGAAGATGTCATGAATTGTCTCTGTACAGTGACTATGGAGAGGGAGAGGAAAATATGTGTGTGCACATGACGTGGGTGCTCTTAGTACAAAAACATCTCTTTGTGTGAGAAGTAGTGTCTTTCCAGAGAGGGTTTTTTGGAGGATTGTTTTGCTTGTGTGATAGCTGCCTTTGAGGGAGCAGGGACATGCAATGTGGCAGGTAGTGCCTCCATCAAAGACTTTCTGAAAGGGATGGTGTGTGTGACCCACCAAGGATGCTTCATGGATGGATGCCTAGAGAGTCCTGACAGTGATGAGAAGCTGGTTTTGCAGCAAATGCCATGCCAGAGTAGCCATCCCATATCCCCAGTTACTGATGGCCACCCTGTGTCCTGCAGGGACCATCATCCACCCTGGATTGCATCCCTCTCCACCTGCCAGGCTGAGGCCACTGTGTCCCTCATTGTTGTCACCCTCAGATTGTGATACTGTCACGGAACTGTTGCTAGGCAACAAATGTGGTTGCTGGGTCTCAACGAATAGCTGAAGGGGAAAGTGAAGTGTTGCACCATTGTAGAGTAACCATAGCAATGACCTACTATCACTGACTAAAGAATTATCATTAGCAATGTTAAAGTATCAAACAGAGGCCCAGGATCCAAAGACTATCAGGCAGCATCTCTGCATAATTGGGTTATCCAGGAAGGTCCCAACTCTTTCACACCCCTTGGCTCCTTATCTCCATTGTCTTGGTTTTGTTTTGGGGGTTGGTGGTGGGGGGAAGGAGCAGGGAGTGTGGTTGTTTAAATAAAGCAAATGTGTTTGGGAAGGCACTTGCAAAACAACAGAAGTATAAGCCAAAATAAAATATAGAGGTAAATCAGTGTGTACAGGGAAGATATAAACAGGAATGGTTGACTTTACTGTCTCTCTATCATCTGTGGGAGCAGGTGCACAAAGGATGCATGAGATGTGGTTCAGATCAAGTGTTCTCTTTCACTTGAAAACAGATATGCCAGGCTGAAAGCTGTATAAAATGAAAAATAAAGAATACAAAGTAGGTCTGAAAAGCAAACACTTACTTTTTGCCAAGGTAGGCCAGATAGGTGAGGTGCTTCAATGAAGCTTTTTATTAGCAGTGTGCTTTGGAACCTTATTTTCCCAGATACGAGACATATTGAGGATCTCTGATTATGACGTGGGTGGCTGTGCATGTGCATATGTGTATGTTTGTGCATGTGTCTGTCTGCATGTGTGTGCAGTTGTTCTTGTCAGCTGCCCAGAGCTCAGCAGCAGGACAGCTCTGACCCTTCCCAGGCTCCCTCCAGACCAGCTGCAGCAGCTGGGTGTTTTCTGTGAGTTTTGAATTTTTGCATTTTACGAAGCATTTATCCTGTGAGCACCAAGCAAGTCACAGAACAACCCCTAGTCAAACTGTCACCTTTGTGTTTTGCAGGTACAGAACGCCATGAATTAACTTCTTGGAAGAGTTTTCCATCTGTTTTCAAGTTCTTCAGTGAGGCTGTAAAGGCGAAGAACAGCTTGGTGAAACCAACCCCAACACGGCGCTCCAACAGGATAAAATATGAAGAATTCTAAAAAGGGTGGAGGAAAAAAACCCACCACCACCAATGTAGTTGCTGCTTGTTTTCTGCAAGGAGTCTCCCAGCCCCTCATTAGATTGTTTTCTTCCTAGAGCACAGGGTCGTGATGTATACATCTAAATAGCGTTTTGCATTATTTCTAGATGAGTGCAACTGTCAAAGCAATATGGGTTCACTGGTTGTGCTTCCTGTGGGCTGTAACTTGGATTTTGTGCTGCCTATCAGTGTGCAGATTAAGGCTGACAGTGGTACTGCACACTGCAGCATGGTGCAACTCTAATTGCCCTGACATAGCCCTGCACCAAGCTGATGCCAAAATTTAAACGGCTTCATTGCAGTCTTATTGCCTGCAGGATATTTTGCAGCTTCCTTCTATTTTGAGACAGAACAAAATATGAATTACCCTTTTTTAAAAGACGGGCCTAACTCAAACGTATTAACCAGCCTATGATTTTACACCTAGAAGCCTTCTCTTTTTCTAGCACCAAGTGGAATTGACTTCTAACTCTCTCATTTTTCTGCTGGCAAGAGTGTCCAAGAAGTTTGGCCCAGAATTCTAGAAAGGCTCTATTGTTGAAGATATTTTCTCTTGCTAAATCAATGAGATTATGTGTAGATCTTCTCTTCCTTTGGAAAGCTCTACTTTAAAAAAAAAAAAAAAAAAAAAAAAAAAAAAAAAAAAAAAAAAAAAAAAAAAAAAAAAAAAAAAAAAAAAAAAAAAAAAGACAAACTGCATATTTTTTGTTAATTTTTGAACACAAAAATGCTTCCATTTTCATATGCTGGGTTTGTAATGACTTGCCATCCCATGGTTATTCAATTTTCCCTAAACTCACAGTTCCCTACCCACTTTCCCAGTCTCTCTGACAAAGGCTGGCCAGCAGGGCACTCTGTATGGGGATTTCACACCATGCATAGGGAGTATGTGGCTGTAGCCATAACTGTTTTGTTAGGCATGTTTTCTCCACTAAAACTAAGGGAAAAGATGTGCTTGATAGCATGAACAGTGAGCAAGCACTCTAATTTTTGGTGTTTATAATAGTAAATTAAAGTTGTCTTTTCTTTAATGGCCATGCCCACCTCACCACTAATGCTGTTAGTGGCAAGGAGGGGCCACTCAGACATGAATTTTGGACCCAATCCTGCCCTCTCCTCTTGCAATGTGTCCAATCCTACAGCTGGGGCCAGAAGTGGTGGTGGGGACCATTAAAATGAGACAATGCCAAAAACAGGGGCACCATCCTATGCCACGGACCAAAAGCAGAAGTCCTCATAGTGAGGTGTAAAGGGAAAAACAGCTGGGTTTGGGCCTAAATCCTCTATATGGGTGCTCACAGCACCCACAGAGTGCTTATATCCCTACCTGCTCATACTGGCAGCCAGACTTCACTTCCCCAACTGCTGCTTCCTGTCATTTCATTGCATTTGAGCTCTGCCCTTGGGGAAGGGTGCTTAGAGCAAACTCCTGGGGGGGCCACGCCTATGTGGAGGAAAGCGCAATATCTATGCCTGGCAGATTTTCTTCCTGGAGGGGAACCTGTGAAGAATCCATGTCCACCCCGGCCCCCTGGGCCCTGTGTGTTCAGGGCTAAGGCACGAGTTTACATGGTGTGGTTTGGTGTCCATGCTTCATCCCGCAGCCAGGGAAGGTGCAGAGACCAGGGAAGTTTGCACATGCACACACCAGACCTGCCATTCTGCATCTTTGTGGAGGTGAAATGGACTCTCTAGGGTGCGCAAATATTGGAAGAGCAGATCTATTTTTTAAATTGATGATGAGAAACAACCTACAAACATTTTTACTGTTAACACTGTTTTCTACAAAATTTTTCTTTACTGTGCCCTGGGCCCAGCTCACATAATCGCTCCTGTGGGGGGCTCTAGAGCAGTGGGGATCCTCACCACTGGTACTGCTCTGCTTGCAATGAACAAAAAATAAATATGTTCTCTTCTCTCTTTCTTGCACACTTTGTCCTTGCATTGAGCTCCACAGGAGCCATTGTCTCTGGTGGGTAGGGTTGGGGTTGTATGGGCAGCAGCTCCACCAGCCTCAGAATACATGCAAGGGCAGCAAGTGTGTTTGCAAACAGGACTCCATACAGTTGCAGGGTTGGGGCTGGAAGGTGTTAGGGGTGTGAGGATCATCTGTTCCATGGAGTAGGCTGCATGTCCAGCCCTGTGGCTCAGGCCACATGAGCATGGGCTTCTCCTGCACACCCCACATCATCCTTGGAAGCCGCGTAGGCACCATCCTCTCCCCTTTAGCTCTTCAGAAACATGAAACTGTAAAATTACACCAAGAAAGGAGTTTTTTTGGAGAGGGCCTTTTGCAGGGGGCATAGGCTACAGATGGAGGAGGCAATATGTCCAGCGTCAGCTGCAGAGGGTACAGGGTCTGCAGAAAGAGATGGAGGTGGAGCATCCCATCATGTGCCACTACATTAGTGTCACATGGGAGGGTGACAATGCAGCACACTAAGGAGGGATGAGTGTTGTTTTAGCCTATTCCTTTGGACTGATGTTTTTAAAGATACACACCACTAGCCTCTCAGGCCATAACGTCTTTAGGACACAGAGGTCTAGTGTCAGCCTTCTCCTGATATCTGACATGGTGCAACAGCCTCTGCCCTAGGTAGCCTTGGATCTACAAGTACAAAAGTGACCAGAGAAAGAAAAAAAAAAAAAAAAAAAAAAAAAAAAAAAAAAAAAAAAAAAAAAAAAAAAAAAAAAAAAAAAAACAAAAAAAAAAAAAAACAAAAAAAAATCACAACAAACCCCCAAACCAAAAACAACAACAGAAAACCAACAAAACTGACCCTACAACAGGATCTAGGAAAACCCCAGCTCCGTGCTACCCAAAAGGTTCGCACACCATCGTGCAAGTCAAAATGCTGCCATTAAAGCCATGGACAAATAAAAGCAGTGCTTCATTGTCAAGAGCAGAGAGCAAGAAAGAAGTGTTCCTAGCAAGAAACAGCCAGCAGAGCCCCAAACAAAGTAGGGCTGTGTGGAAAAATAAAAAAGGAGGGGTTGAGGGTAAGCAAAGACATCCCTCATCTTCACTGTGCACTGGTTACAGTAACAGTTCTCACAGTGTGATTCTCCCAGGCTCAGAAGAAGCTGCTGCTTCTCGTGGAAATGTGCATTTTTCCTCTGTCTCTGAGAAACATCACTTATTGTGGATAGTGGAGTATTTTTCCCCTCCAGAAATTTCATTCAGAAGTACAAATGAAAAGTGTCACATCTAAAACCGCATGGAGCTACATATTGCACCATTCTCAAGTCAACCAAACCAAAAATAACCTGCCAAGAATGTGTACATCCATCGTACACCAGGGTAGAGCTGTCTTACAGAGTGGAAGGATGCATGTGTGTGTGTGTGTGACTGCATGCATTCATGGATATCTCGATCTCACAGGGATGTGTGTGTGTGTGTGCATGTGTGTGTGCGTCTGCATTATGTTGATGTACTCGACAAAGTGTGAAAAATGTACTTCTAGAAAAACTTGAAAGGAGATGTCATTTATCATTGTATCATCATAATACCACAAATTTCACTTTTCTGTTCCATTTTGGATTGCATGTGTTAGAGAGTACTTCACTAGATCAGTGACAGCGCTTTATTTGCATAATTATATGCTCTGGTCTGAAGAGAAAACTAACCCCCAAATTTCATGGGTCACCAAACTGCAACAATCAATGTTTTATCACATATGCTAAGCAAAACCGAAGGAGCTATATGAAGTTTCTTGTGGATTTTTTGCTCCTCAGAAAATTAAAGATGTGCCTCCTGAATAGATGCAAAATCTTTCCAAGCTCTTTGTAGCTGAATTCCATTTGAAGAGAAAACTAGAGATTAGCTCATAGATCTGGATTTCAAACCCCACTAGCATTCTTACTTCAAAGTGGATTCAGACAAGCAGCTTTACTGCATCTCTAAATTTTGCCATCCTAAGTAATGTCATTTAAATTGTGGCAATCAAAAAATTAAACTAAAAGAAAATAAGTTAGTCAAATGTAAAAAATAGAATCACCCCCTCTCTTATCAAGCCCATAATGACCAATGGGTTTTATTCCATTTATTCTGTGGAGTTTCATTGTTTCAGCTGGGTGCTATCCATGTATGAAGATATGGATATTTGGTATATGTAGAAAACCCTTTCCTGTGCTGCAGAATTTGTTCTGGTTTATCAGCTGCATAATAACCACACGCTCCAGTTAGGACATACATACTCCAAGTTTTCTTCTCAATCAAAATGCCGCCTTATGAGGAGGAAAGAACCTGGGGATGGGAACTGACTGGCAGTGAAGATCCCCCATGTCCTCCTCTTTCATTCACACTAGTACTGCTGAAAAAGTTTAGCTCTTTTTTAAAATGAATTTAATACAAAATAATAAATAAAGTGTAATATAATGCAGTATAATAATTCACACAAAGTACAGGAGGACCTCTTAGAAGTGTTGATGAGCAGCACCTATCCCAGGGGACATGCCACCCACACTTCACTGCAAACAACCCAAAAAAAACCCCAAAATCTTCTCTGGGCTTCAAGATATAACTTTACTGGTAGAAGTTCTCATGGGTTGCTACCTTGCAGTTGGGTCCCTCTAAGCTTTTGGGAAGAATAAACTTTTATAAAGGGGCCTATTTCAAGTAACAAGATCTTTGGTGATCTGACCCCACGGAGAGCAGTGCCTGGGAAGGAAGGAGTGCGCGTTATGTAGGTTAAGAACCTGGAGAGGGGCACTTCTGCTATCATATCAGAAACCTCTCTCCCCAAGAGCAAGCTTCAAAGTTCTCTGCCTCCCTACACCCACACTGTGCGGGAGAATAATCTTCCCACACTATCTGTACTTTTTTTTTTTTTTTCCTGACTTTAACATCAACTCCAGAAGCCTTCTAGGGGGAAATGGGTTCCCAGCAAAGACTGGCACCTGAGAGGTTCAACTTCTCACATCTGACTCCTGAGTGATCTCCAAACACCTGCTCCAGGCAGACACCAGCTTTGTGCCACCTCCTTGCCTTGCAGGAAGAGCAGGAACAAGGTGAAACATGAGTGGAAAATAAAAACAGTGCTAAAACACAAGTCTCCTCACCACCCTTGTCTGACTGCTGGCATGGGGTTCTGTGGGATGCAGGGACAGGGTCTGCCGAACACTGGTTACTCTTGCCAGGGAGACCCAAAGAGAGAGAAGAGCACACTCTGAAGCATCTCTTACGCCTCCCCACTGTCTGCATTCCTCCTCTGGAGTCAAGTAAATATGAATATTCACTGAGGATTGGTCTGCAGGCTGGTTTATCCTAATGGAGACAATAGCATCAGTTATTTCCCACTAAATTGCAGCACAGGAGAGAGCTGACCCCTCTGAGGAGAGGCCTAAATCACTCCTTTTGTTGTTTCCATTTGTCTTTGCTCATGCCCTACCTAATCCCCTAATGCCTGGTAAAGGGCTGTTTCAAGATTCTGCCTTCTTTTAAGATGCTATCTCTGCTACAATTACATAAGCTCATCTCCCCTCCTCCTGAGACCGCTTTATGCCTTCTCCCATATCAACTTGCTAAAAAATTGTTTTATATAATAAAGCCCTTGATGTGGACGGTCCTCCATGTCTCCCCACAACATGCAGATACAAAAATAACAT